AATCGGACTCCCGCTACGCGGTCGTCCGATTTTGTCATCGCTCGTATGATTACAGACCGAATTGGACTCCACTCAGTCCGCAGGTAGCCCAAGCTCAAAATATGAGCATCAGCGAGCATCGGCATTGTTGCGTAACATTCAAAATATAACGATTTGTATGGGAAAAAAAACCTATCGTTTCTGTAACCTACGAAATGAAAAGATTTCAAGAAAAAAACAGCTTACCTTACTTAAAATTCTCTCTTGGGTTAAAACCGTGAGAATTGATAATTTTCTGTGCTTAACTCATGTAACATAACACATAAATAAGTATTTTGCATCATTTTATCCACAACCTTTACTTTTATTTAAGTATCTTTGAAGTTGCAAAACATGCAGTTTCACTCAAATATGGCTCGATCACCGGCAAATTATGACGTCACACCTCGTAACCTTAGAAACTGACCATTAGTAAACTTATCGTCCAGGAAAAAAATCAGAAAAACCTCAGAGGGGGGTGACAACCAACCTCGTTGTACGTCCGAGGGCAGGAGCCGATGTTAATTTTAGGGAGCCTAAGCAACGACGACGGTGTCGGCGACGGCAACGAGAACGGCGAAAAAGCAATAGGTTAAGATTAGCAAAACAACAACTCTGGACGTTCAAGACGTTTCATTGTACATTTCTTTGCCGTCACTGCACGACTGCGACGTAAAATATTCTATTTTACGTTTTATAGACAACGACAAGACAACTTCTGAAAGGCAATGAAGTTTGAAACAGCGAGAATTCACTTTTTGGGTGACGTATTCGCTGCCGTCAACGTCGTTGTTGCTTAAGCTCAGATGGCCTCCTATAAATTAAAAATGGTAAAGTGTTATTGATGCACGAAGGCAGCGTTGCCGGAAAGATTTGAGAGTCAATCAACTCTTCGGCCATGCTTGTAAATAAATAGCCCACTTATTTGCCTCTTCTGTTACAGAGGGAACCCAGGCGCTTTGTTGTTAGTCATTCCAGTGCAATTTAAAATCAAAATAATTAACCTCAAGAGATAATGAGCTAGATCATTCTCTCTTGCTAACCTGTGTGTCTGTGGTATCTGTTTCTTTCTTTGGTTTTTCTGAAGACGGTTTCTTCGAACAATTTCAAAGTACAACCTTGAAATGGAATGGGCAACCGTCTTCGGTTTGATGCAAATTCCTTCAAAAGCGACAAAGGGATGACATAAACATGCAGTGAGGTAAATCATTTCAATTTTATTGGGATTTGCATGAATTAGCTGTGAAGTGTTCGAGCTCCCGGTGATTGCTATGTTATGTTTCAGTTATAAATTTTGCTTTAAGCCCCACTAGCCCCTGTACTATAGGAAAATTCATTACTTGACTCGTGAATTCCGCGTTAAATTGCACTTGAAAACCAATGTCGCACGAATCGCGAAATTCATTACCTGACGAGGGAATTCCGCGTTTAATAATCGAAAAAATTACCCAATTCTGATTGGCTGAGAAAGGAGTGCAGTTCTTCTGAAACACGAGTGCAAATTTGTAACACGAGTGCAAAACTTGTAACACGAATGCAAATTACAAATGGTTTCTGATTTGCTGAAAACACAAAAGAAACCACCAAGAACCAATCAGATTAGAGCTGTTTTAACAACAAAATTGTTGGCCATGGTTTTCAGCAGACGACGACGGGATTTAATTTTGTACGCAAAGCAACAATAGAAAAGTTACAAAATATTCCAAAAGCCCGAACACAGTAAAGAGTACGTCTTTCTGGCTAAATGTATTGTAAACGCGGTGCTAAGAGAAAAATACTGTCAACTAAATCAAGGAGAGTGAGCCAGAGAAACCAAAAAACAAGCCACTTATAACAGACTACGCTAAAGTAAAAGAATAAAGAACAAAAACGGTTGCAACCAAACGCAAACCATGACAGCTACACTTTTCAGGCATTTAAATGAACAAGGATACAAGTTTTCCATGATAACAATAGGGATTTCAAGTCACGTACGTTATTTGTTGGAGGAGAAAGGTGTCCGGTTGCTCGACCTCTATTAAAACCACAGGCAGCCCAAACTCTGTGGGAGTTCGTTGGACTTTGAATTTATAAGAGAAAGTATGAAAATAAACAAAATACGTCCTAAACTCCATTTTTCGACAAAAAAATAGAAATAAAAATGACTTACCTTGTGTCTGTGTTTTGTTATTTACTGTCACTTCGCCTCTAGAGCCATTTGGAAGCCGTTTTATCGGCTTTTAAGATTATGACTCAAAATCTTAAACGTAGGCCAAATGAAATAATGAAAACCCCAGCGCTGTGAAAAAGCAAATATTATATTAATACTGGCAGTTTCCGACATCACAACAACTGTGGCTCCACTCACCCATCGATGGCAGCGTCGGAAGAAAACAAATTGCCTCCTTCATTTTCGGGTTTTAAATCTCAAAAATTTCTCCCTGAATCCAGCTATGGTGGGGTCTCAGGAACAGACAATGATGAACAGTCGTTAAAAAACCTTAGCAAGTGTCTTTCATCTTTGGTTGCTCGAAGCGTTCTCCTGACTTCAAAAAGGCAGTATACTTCTTGTCAATGCTTCTTGTAAACTCCGAGCTCTCATAATCGACGATGAATTTGAAAACACTTACTTTTGCTGATTATTGTAAACCAAGTTATCTTTAACAGGCTGGTGACCAATCAATCCTTTCACATTTCCAAGTTCTTAGCTGAATGATTTTGAAAGCGTTGGTCTTGAAAAAGTTTGAATTTGACAAAGGTAGTGGTCTGTTTCAGCCAATCAGTTGAATGAACTAAAAACGAGCGCGCTGTCAAAATTTCTTGTTGTAGTTGAATCGTTTTGGGTTTTTTTGGGGTGTATATTATTAATAAGTAATCCAGGAGCCCATGGGCTCCTGGTAATCACATGATTTTTCTCGTGCAATAGGTCATTTGCACTAAGAGGTCATGTGACATAGTTTTCATGAAAATGAAAGCTGTATGATTTTGCCTTCGAAAAACGATTAGTGGGTCATATCTCAAACAGAATAATAGTGATTTGTTTTTTCAAACCCGCACCATTTTCTTAAAATGAGTAAGTTCCTCGCTGGTCACGTGACCAAAATGTGATTTTTAAAATTATGAATTACTTCTTTCTGAACACAAGCTTTGCTCTTAAACTTCAAGGAGGATGTTGAAAAAATGATGTGGTAACGTTTACAGCACATCTGAGCGTAACTATCAAACGTTTAACAAGATATAAGCAAAAAGTAATTTTGGCCGCCGTATTGGAGGGCAAGAGTATGCCCTCCAACATGGCGGCCAATACAAATCATACTGCTTTGTTGAAAAATCAACGTGCCATAGAACATCTCCCTTAAATGCGTTTCCTCTCAAATTTCGGGTGTAAGCTAATTTTTATGTGCTCTGTCAATTTTTAGCATCAGCAAGATTCCAACTCATTGTTTAAAGGAAGCATTGGTCACGTGACCTCTTAGTGCGTGTGGCCTATTTGGAATAAATAAGCACTTGTAAATTTTTTAAAGACCACAAAGTGCACCCGCCCTACAAGCTCGTGCACTTTTGTTGGTCTTTGAAAAATTTACTCGTGATTATTCATTCCAAATTGCACTCGAAATCATGTGATTACCTATACAAATTGCACGCGAAAACCGATATCGCACGACTCGCGAAACAATAGGGAACTTAAGAACCACGACGAAGTTCACGACGACGACGTCTGTTGACTGGGAAAGGACTGGAACGAGAACGTCAGTTTCGGCGGGAAAAAGGAAACTTAAGATGCAGTCGATCGGTAGGTCGACGACGACGACACTGAATGTAAACACAAATGTAAAACTGTGTTGTTCGTTCGCAACAAAGTTTTTTCGCAAAGGCGTCTTTTAAGACGATGCAAGATCTTATTTTATAAGCCGTACGTCTACTTTCATTGACGATGAAGAATTTTTAGTGTTGTCTGACCTTTTCAAATGGAAAAATCTCTGCTTTCCGTACGAAGGTTATTCAACTTTTAACCTGAATGACATGACCGAGTCCGATTGTCTGTCAGAGTTTAGATTTGGAAAAAGAGACATTCCGATGCGATAGCTGTTTTCCATATAAAGTTCATTTCCTCTATATTAAAGGTATATGATTTGCCTGACCTAAATACGTACAAATAAATTTGTCACTTACGAGTTCGCTCGCTCGGCCTGCACAGCTCAGTCTTGTCTTCGAAGTAAACACAATTCATCAGTCAAATTTTCAATCAACATCGCTTGTTAGTAGAAAAAAGAAAGGATACCTGGATTTACGAGGTGAAAAAATACAATGCCCTTGAAAAATCGCTTAAAAACAGGGAGTTATACCTGCCGAAGCTTGTGGACTGCAGGACGACGTGACTCTACTGTGTTTGGCGTCGTCGACGACACCACGACGACGAAATTTGTTAACCGCGCTTCCGCAGTGCACGGTATCTCACTTCCGGTCGTCGTCGACAAAGTCGTCGTCGTGGTTCTTAAGTTTCCTAATGAGTACTAGTGCGATAACGGTTTTCGGAATTCACGGGTCAGGTAATGGATTTCCCTTGAATCACAAAATGGAATGAAAATAAGGAAAAAAGAAAACAGCAATAACATTGTTTGTTTTTATCCTAAGCGCGCGCTCCAGAAAGCCATTTCAAAGTCAACTGTCAGAACTGTCATTGCGTTAGCGAATAGGAAGCAAGGTCAGTCGTACACGTTTGAATCTTCGACAACTTTATTTGTACCTTGTGCTTGTTTTTACATTTGTTTTCAAACTTTTTAAACAAGCTTCACACTAATCTTAGTTGTTACGTATATGTATAGATGCGAAACAAAGTCACTTAGCCTCGTTTTCAACTAGCAACTCCACGCTAAATACCTCGCTTCGTTAACCAATCAGAATGCGAGATTTTATTCAATTATGCGATTCTATAAATTAGGGCAAGTAAGGCTGTATTGAACTACAATAACTCTAGAACTACAATATACGCACGGCTGTGTGATTATATTATGAGATAACATGCTCGGTTGTGTTTAATATAACCTGGATTTGCGTCGCTTGCTTTCCACAAAGTATTTCGATAAAAAAGAGGACAGTGTAGAACTTTCTAACATTTTAATGATTAAAACTTCTCGGCAATCAAACATGTACGAAGAACAAAAGTCGTTAAACGAACTAGCTCAGGCTGAGAGCCGGCGCATTTTGGAAACTTATCAGAACCTGATAAAGTAGACAACTCTGCATGTGGAGAGGAGAGCAATCAAGAAGTCACAATAGCTCGAGGTGTAGCCAATTAGCAACTAGTACACAGTACCTCCGCTTCTTTCGTGCTTCCCGAACTTCCTGTGTACATCAGCCATTAGGCTGTTCACAGTTCCCTATTTTTTCGTGAGATCGTCGAGATATAGCGCGTCTTATGTACCGAGGGGGCGGGCGTCGGGGATTATAGCTCTAGGGGAAGGGGGGCGAGAAAACTTTATTTTTCTCGCTTCCTCTCAAACAGCTCCCGTCCCCTAAGTAGTTTTGACACTCATGCAAGACGGCAGCCCGTAACGGAAAGCGCTCGATCTCGATGATCTTACGGAAACATAGAGGATTGTGAACAGTCTAATCAGCCATTATACTCGATACTTACACCCTAAGCCCCTAACCTTAAGCATAACCAGTTTTCTTCCACGATGAAAACCGCTAAAACTACACCCTTATCACATATCTACATGGCTCTAGAGATAGCTAACACTGAACTTCTTCTTACAACATTGCTGTTGCCATTAAAATTGCAATTAATCAAATTCTAAAAACTGATTTCTTAAGTAAATAAAGAAAGAGCTATACACTCTAGATTATCTTAAAGTCTGTGTTTATCTGCTCAAGTAAAGCAAAACGATTAAAAGGTTATGAGATATTCAGGATAACATTGAGTATCGTAGAAAACAACGAAGATGGACGGGTTTGCTGGGCTATCAACCACAGACTCGTACAGAATCTCCGGTCTGGAAGGGTTCTTTGGTGGGGGAACGATCATACCAGAGTTGCCTGCACAATACTGCCCGACCAGGACCCTGGCAAGGTACATAAAGCGACCCCCACTTCCACCCGCTGCATATCCAACTGAGTAAGAAGCATCTCTGGCAAAATACACACCGCGTCCATAGGCAGTTCCTATAAAAAACAAACAAGCAAAAAAATAGTTAACTGGAAATCATAGTGGTAGTAGTCATGTTTCCTTTGTTCTTACAGTCAGGTTTAACCCCCACTTGTAACACTAATGCGATTGCGTTCTGACGACGTCTACAACAACTCAAAATGCTACTCAAAGTTGTAGAAAACATAACTAGCCTCTTCTTCCTTGGGAATACATGTCTTAAATCATTTCGTTTAAGGGTACTTTAAAATTGAAGTGCCTAATTGTGCCCGTTGAGTCAGTTCTGAATAGTGCATGTGTATGTAAACATTCACTGGTACTGCTATGCTGGCTCATAATAATATACGAGTACACATTGCTTGTCGCAGTTGTAACTTACCATGTGCCCCACAAAAACTCCTATTGAATCCCTGTGTGTTTATTGCACGTACATTTTTGGCGTCGGTTCCATGAAACAGCTGTCGTTCATTGTTTCCTCCATTGTCTTTATCCATCTTCTGCTTTCGTACCATGTACTGCTTGTAAAGATGAGGATTTTGAATTCGCTCGATTTTCTGGATATACATTCCCCTAGCGGTTGCTTGAAATTTGCTCACGACATTTTGATACTCAGAGGAGCCAGGTGCGAGAGGCACAGTATGTACTTCCATATCAGGGCGTGGCATTGGAGCCCACGTATTCGGGAGAGAAGTTCCTTTAGGACAAAGAATCAGTGCTTTTAATTTTATTTTGCTTTGAAAAGCAAAATTACTGGTTTGGGGAGTTTTCAGTTGGCCGTACAGTCGAAGAGAATCTAAGAATGCTATGAGATGGAAAATTTCACTGTAGGAATAAGCCACCTTGGCTGTCTTATTCATGATAATTTCCATTGGTATTATAAAAAAAGATTTACCAGAACTCATGATTTTAAACTTAGATAGCCAAAAGGATAACGGTTGAGACCCATGGGAGTTCACCTGGATAGCCTTTTTATCTTGTGTTGTACTTCCGTGAAAATCAGGGAAGTCAGTGGGCGTTTTGGTTGACATTGAGAAGCATTGAAGGGAAATATCCGCAAACGGCCCAAATCTCTGCAGTGGAAAACGGTCTCGCTTCAATTCATTCTATGCTATAAGTATGAACCACTCTGTTCATGGGCAAATAGGGCCTTTCAAAGAGTTGGTATGTGGCTTCCTCCTAACCAGACGCCACCCTATGTTTCGTCTGATATTTGGCGCGATCTGTTATCTTCGTCCTATTGACTTCGGTGAATTTTATATTGTCGGGCATCAAATTCAGGAACGATTTTATCAGTTCTCTACCTAAGCAGTGAATTGCTTAGCTTAGTTTACAAGTTCCCGTGTTTGAAATCCGTTTATTATGCACTAACCTTCTTCAGCTCCCTTGACCTTTCTAAATATCGTAATTGTTTCACCATTCTGCTGTCCGCGGCCAGTTTTATTTTTCAAATTAATGTCAAATTTATCACCTAGCAGAGATATCTGTACTGTGGATTTTTCTTTGATGTGCGCCATCTCAAGCTTTCCGTTTGCCTTCGGGCTAAACACCATTTTCTTGCCTTGTCTTTCATAACTCCATTCTACGCTCTTTGAAACCATCATCGCCTGCTCCTCCTCCTGTATCTTCTTATTTCTCTCGTTAATCTCCTGCCAAATCTCCCCGACCATGCCAGGAACTTCAACTGGGCCACCCCTCACCACAATGCGATCAACATCAACCTCAATGTCCAGTTTGACGTCACGTTCTTTGGCTTTCCTTCTCAGATTGCTCATCTCCTTTGGTGACAGTTTGCTGACGGTTTCATTTTCGACTTTTTAATTCACACAGGCGTCAGAGAAACGCTTCTTCAAAGCGCCTACCGCTTTACCGACGCTTCCTTTATCCTTCCCCACCACTAAGATTTTCACAGAATGGTCAGCTGTTGAACTCGAATTAGCTGTGATATTTTTTCTTTGCCTAGCAATTCTGGGCCTTTCAGCAACTTCATCATCTGCAGTGGAGTCACTCTCTTGCTCATCCATATCCTGCATTGCCTGTCTCTGTTGCGCCAGCAAAAATTCCTGAACCATTTGAGTTTGAAAGACAACGACACGCACATTGCGAAGGTTTTGACAACTTCTTCTTAAGGAGCTGAGAGCTTGGAATGTTACCTGAGCCGAGTCCGCTGCCGTCAAACCAAATCCACCAGTACCTACACATGGAATTGATATCGTGTGAAGGTTTTTTTGATCTGCTAGACGAAGGCCAGCTTCCAAACATGTCTGAAGATGCTGTTTATCTTGGGAGCCTGCAAGTAAACAGTTTGACATTTAATAATGAACAAAAAAGTAATATGAGATCTTTTTTGAATTTTACCCTCAAAAGCAGCAAGAAAACAGAAGGTTTTGAATGTTGCATCGTTAAACTAAAAATGGCGATGACAGTAAACGGGATTACAATATTATTGTAGCTCAACGGTTTCAATTAGTCCTGCCTTCCCTTGTTGTGTCACCTTCCTCGTGGGGCCCAATTTTCACGCGCGCACTCAAGCATTTCGATCGCTCTACTATTCCTGACAATAGCCTCCTCGGCAGGCAACTTCTTTTGTAACGGTTACACTGACCGTCAGGAGTCTGAGAGAATATCGCTACATCACAATTCACCACTTTTGCATTTAGATGTATTTGGGTAACGTAACAGTGGTTAATTAGGAAAAGGCCGTAATCGCCTGTTCCTCTTGAAGATTTTACCATTTTTAAGGGTGGACAAACGTTGCATGGTCCATTGGAGGCCATATTCCCTACATAATAACATCAAATAAAAAAAGATCAACCAATACCTGGAACAATATGGATTATATGCCGTACTGCTAAATTTCCGCTACCAGTCATCACCGCTGTCCCAGCAGTTTGAGTGCCATATTGACTACATTCTTGTTGGATCTGTGTGCCACCAGCTGCTAAGATAGCTTTGCTTAGATCACCAGCGTTGCTCATGTTCATGTCAGTGCTGTTAATGTTCATAATGGCGTCTGTGTTCTCCTTTGTTAAATCACCACTTACTACTTTAATATTCAATCCTCTCTGCCTATTAGCGCGTGGATAGGCTACGCCCTGCCTGGCCATAGGTTTAAGGACATGGCCCTGATTAGAATACAGCGGATGACGCTGCTGTTCTCGTTGAAATGCCTGAAGCATAGGAGCTTGGAACACTACGATTCTAACTTTTTTGATGACGTTGAAACGAGCACTAAAATTACTGAGAGCTTGAAATATTAGGCTGGCTGAATCAGCCGCTGACATGTGAAAAGATCCCGTTCCTACCGCTGGAAATGAGATGGACTGAAAACCACTAGCCTCTGCCACACCGAGACACTTTTCCACGCATTGTTGCAAGTGATTTTTGTCGGCAGTATCTGGTATCAAGTGGATGATATTACGGGCCGTTAGATTTCCACCACTGGTAACCACCACTGATCCACCTGTTTGATGTCCCAGTTGATAGCACTCGTCCTGAACAACTTGACCAGCCGCCTGTTTCACCGCCTTGCTCAATGCCCCGGCGCTATCCATATTCATATCTTTGCTGTTGAGGTTAACAATGACATCTGTTGCCTCCTGGCACAAATTTCCTTGCCAAACTTCCACACTAACACCGACGGCTGGCCTTGCTGGGTTCTTATGGACTCTTCCTAATTTGGACCGTAGATGCCTTAATATACCACCCATAGAGTATCCAGGACGAACACTGTACTTGGATTGCAATTTAGTAACCTCTTGCGCAAAGGCAGTGGTTAGTGCCTGATCTTGCTGAAACACGGCAAATCGAATATCTTTCACCACAGATGACGGATTAGTTTGACAAAAGTTGATGGTTTCTTCCAACATGATCCTGGAAGCTGCGTCTGGAGGAAAGTTGAGGTTTCCAGTGCCTATGACTGGAAATGCTATTGATGCCCCTCCGAGTTCATCAGCTTTCTGAAGACAGTTTTGGACAATGCCTCGTAGGACCTTGAATAAAACATGATGAATGACTTGCACGATTGATAATAATTAGTTTTGTACGAACAAACTAACAGAAAAAATCGGTACAACTACCCTTACGGAGTTGATTGATTAACATTACCTTAACCACCTATTTGCAACTTTAGAAACGAGAACGGGACTGGAATAACGCGGTGCGGTAGACGCACCGGTCAACTGTTGGCCAATTTTTTCCCCTATCCGTAATAACAGCCCCAGGAGTCTTTGCGAACGTTAACTCGGCCCAGGTTCCTTCGTGTTTTGAAAGTATTAAGAGGCTGTCTCAGTAAAAACCGCCCACTCAATTTCGCGTGAAAAATAATTTTGCCTGAAACTCTGGCGAGTGAAAGCCTTTATCGAGACTATAACTAAAATAGGTTTGCTTTGATTCACAATAATTTTCTGGCCGCGTTGGGAGGCGCCGAGTATTTTGTCCCGCCACGGCCATTTTGCACGTCTTGAAAACTGAAAATTTGGCATTTTTTGCGGCGCTGTAAAATGTTTGATTTGCACCATCTACCAATGAATTCTATACCTATTTATAGGTAAACATCTCTAGTTTTTCCTGAAAGTAATAGTTATCCGCTAAATTAAGCTGGAAAGACAAAATCAAGCAAAATATGACCCCAACTAATTGTCTTGGAGCGAAAGGCCAAAAATGACCCTGTTTTAAAAGCTTATTTTTGACTTTTGGGACATAGTTGAAAGCTCTAGACTAAATAGACGCAAAGATAGACCACCTGTCATTAATAATATACAAAAGCCCATGTACGTCTTCAGTATTTTAAAAGTTATCACCGTTTGTATCAACGCGTACTAATACGATATTTTCAGATTAAGCATAACGGATCTATCTCAAGCAGATTTTGTCAAAAGTACGGCTTACCTGATTCATTACTGGCACTGACTCACAAATTGAGACATATTTCAATCCCTGAGATGCGGGACTCCATAAAATTCCAGTAAGCTGTGCTTTAGAAACTGCTGGTCTGCGGCCATTTTTGAATCCCAAGCTAACAATTCAAAGATCAAAACAGGTGAAACTGTGTCACGTTTCGAGCTAAATAGCTCGGTAAAACAACCGTTCAGAGGTGAAAGTTTGCTCGAGAATCAGAAAATTAACTGGGAAGGTCTCATTTTGGATCAGAAAATTGAGATTTCAGAGCTACAACCTCGAATAAACCTTCTATTCAACCGGCTCTGCAAGGTCAAATGCAGGTTGACACGTAAACCGGAAATGTTGAAACGCGGAAATATGGAAAACCGGAAATACGGAAATCCGGATCATCCGGAAATCGGCAAATCTGAAATCAATCAGGAGCCGAAGGCAATCCCAAAAATTAGAGACAGCTGCATTCGTTTAGGGCTTCTTTTCGACGTTGAGACACGTGAAAGATAAAACCTTCCAAACGGGGGGGAACTGTTTGATTTTCACTGAACTGTAACGCAGTTCCACGATCGATTGCGTTTTGGCAAATAGGTTACAAACATTCTATGTGCGCTAACATATCACACTTGTGATTAATACTTTACAGAAGTTTGTTATATATCGAGACTGAATGTGTCGAGATCTAGGAAACCGAGCCAGCTCGGTTGTCTGGGCTTATTAGTATACAGGCCCTTGAAAATCGCTTGTTAAGAGCGGATAAATAGTCCTGGCCAGTGAGTAAGTTCTTAAGAAACCGATCATTACTTAGAGGGGGTTAGGGAAGGCTTGAGTGAATGGGAGAAAGCCTTCTTCACAGTGTACTGATCCTCTTGCTGAATCTTCTCCCGTCCCTTTGACTATTTTTACAACAGGAACCAGATTTTCCTCCTCCGTCCCCTCCCAAACTTTACCTAATTCATTACTGGTGCTGACTAAAAAATTGACCGATATTTGATTCAAAATTCTAGTAAATGCGCTTTTCAAACTGCTGGTATGCGGCCATATTTGAATCCCATGCTGAAACTAGCGTAAAATTCCGAAAATAAGTCCCTCCCTCCTCCCCTAAACTCGTAACACAAAAACTCTCCGTGAAATCGCCCCTCAGAAAATAAGCCCCCCGGGGGCTTGTACTTGGAAAATTGCCCTCAAATACAAAGTAAAGCAAAGCAAAAACGGTTAATTTCCTTCCAACTATATGCTAGCCCAATCGATTTTGAAACGCAAATTTCCCTCCGTACATAAGGCCCTCCGAATGTAAGCCCGTCCAAAAATAAGCCCCTCAAAAAGGGCCTTTGAAAAATATAAGACCCGGGGCTTACTTTCGGAATTTTACGGTATGTCACGTTTAGAGATAAATAGCTGGGTAAGAAAGAAAATAAGAGAAATTTCCGGAGGTGAGACTTGTCCGAGGATCAAAACATCAGCTAAGCAGATTTCTTTTTGGGTCAGAAAACCCAAATTTATCGACAAATGTAGGATTATTTTTTCGACCATTTAATGGTGTTTTGTAGCTAATCCTAAAACAAAGTTGCATCGGATTTTTGGTCTACGAAAATGGTCGCCCTTAGGACTTGCCACTAGTTTCACCATCCGGTGTAAATATTGGTCTTAAAGTCTAAACCGCATACAGAATTAATTCCTTTCTTAAAGCTACTCTAGATTAAATCATGGGAGTTTCTTGCAACCATACCCTATAACCCAAATGACTTTCCTCTGCTCTCCTCGCGTTATCCGCTGTCCAAGTTATCCGTGAATCTAAAAATGACTCAATTAAGATGGAGTCCTTGGTTCAATAATTTTTTGAGAATTTCTGGATGATTCTTCGAATCTTTTTAATGTATAAAAATTAGGGAGGATGTTAAAAATGTTGGAAAAGTTGGAAAATATTGGATTTGGGGATTGTTAGAAATTAAAATATTAAGTGAATAATCAGAAGAAAAATTAATACCGGAGACTCCAACAAGGAGTGCCTCTGATCCCATTAACGGAATAACTGCTTTATGTGCATACTTTTTCTACTCTTATTTATTTCTTTCCCAAATCATCATCATTTTCCCCGAAAAAACAACCAGAATGCCCCCTTAACAAGCGATTTTCAAGGACCCTCTATACTAATGAGCCCAGACAACCAAGCTGGCTTGGTTTCCTAGATCTCGACACACTCAGTTTCGATATATAACAAACTTCTGTAAAGTATTAGTCACAAGTGTGATATGTTAGCGCACAAAGAATGTTTGTAGCCTATTTGCCAAAACGCAATCGATCGTGGAACTGCGTTGCGGTTCAGTGAAAATCAAACAGTTCCCCCCCGTTTGGAAGGTTTTATCTTTCACGTGTCTCAACGTCGAAAAGAAGCCCTAAACGAATGCAGCTGTCTCTAATTTTTGGGATTGCCTTCGGCTCCTGATTGATTTCAGATTTGCCGATTTCCGGATGATCCGGATTTCCGTATTTCCGGTTTTCCATATTTCCGCGTTTCAACATTTCCGGTTTACGTGTCAACCTGCATTTGACCTTGCAGAGCCGGTTGAATAGAAGGTTTATTCGAGGTTGTAGCTCTGAAATCTCAATTTTCTGATCCAAAATGAGACCTTCCCAGTTAATTTTCTGATTCTCGAGCAAACTTTCACCTCTGAAACAGTTGTTTTACCGAGCTATTTAGCTCGAAACGTGACACAGTTTCACCTGTTTTAATCTTTGGATTGTTAGCTTGGGATTCAAAAATGGCCGCATACCAGCAGTTTCTAAAGCACAGCTTACTGGAATTTTATGGAGTTCCGCATCTCAGGGATTGGAATATGTCTCAATTTGTGAGTCAGTGCCAGTAATGAATCAGGTAAGCCGTACTTTTGACAAAATCTGCTTGAGATAGATCCGTTATGCTAAATCTGAAAATATCGTATTAGCTCGCATACGCGTTGATACAAACGGTCATAACTTTAAAAATACTGAAAACGTACATGGGCTTTTGTATATTATTAATGACAGGTGGTCTATCTTTGCGTCTATTTAGTCTAGAGCTTTCAACTATGTCCCAAAAGTCAAAAATAAGCTTTTAAAACAGGGTCATTTTTGGCCTTTCGCTCCAAGGCAATTAGTTGGGGTCATATTTTGCTTGATTTTGTCTTTCCAGCTAAATTTAGCAGATAACTATTACTTTCAGGAAAAACTAGAGATGTTGACCTATAAATAGGTATAAAATTCATTGGTAGATGGTGCAAATCAAACATTTTACAGCGCCGCAAAAAAAGCCAAATTTTCAGTTTTCAAGACGTGCAAAATGGCCGTGGCGGGACAAAATACTCGGCGCTCCCCAGCGCGGCCAGAAAATTATTGTGAATCAAAGCAAACCTATTTTAGTTATAGTCTCGATAAAGGCTTTCACTCGCCAGAGTTTCAGGCAAAATTGTTTTTCACGCGAAATTGAGTGGGCGGTTTTTACTAAGACAGCCTCTTAAATAGTGAAAATTTAGTTCTAAGCTGGCGTGAAATTGTCAAATGTGATACGCGCCGAACACAATTTTCCAAAAAAGGAAGAATTAGGAATGCGCCACTTAAGCAAGCCTGCCTTTCTCACGAGATACCTTTTTCTTTAACGTTCCACAAAGGATGTTACCCGCGAAATTTGAGGACTCATGATTCGTGTCAGCTCTGTGGCTTTTTGGATAGGATGCCTGATAATTGTCAATAGAATAAGTTAGGGTTCCAATTATCCTTTAACTGTTCCCCCGTTCCACCATGCCACTGTGAACAGTCTGTATGGATCACGTGATTACAGGCCAGGTTATATCCAGGAGTAACTGCGATGTTACCAGTTTTTGGAGCTACCAAGTTTTGCCTCATTGCCTGCCCACCCGCATTTACGATCGCCTGGGAGCATGCACCTTGTGAACTGACCAGAATGTCGGCCTGCAATTAAAGTCAAACAAAAAAGAGAGTTCATAAAGGCTAAAAAGCTTCGCGATATCATTTAAGTTTGGGCATCTGTGTTTACTTTAGCAGTGCACTACCATGCTACCAATAACAGCGACGTATGCATGCACTTTTAATTAGGTACCCTGGATTGCTTCTACAGTCTACTCCCAGTAACTCGAACCCTCTATAACTCGAAACAATTTTCATTTCCCTTCAGATCATTTTCTATATTACACTACTACATGAGAAATTTCTGCAATTTGATTGGCTTAGAGTAGTGGTATTTCAGCTTCATTTGAAATACCTACTTGTGAAAATTACAAACCTTTTGTGGGTAGTAGTATAAACAAATAATAGCATGATTTGTTCGTGATATTCGGCATAAATACCACTCGTGATATTTCAAAATTGTCTCAAATTTCACTCGCCTAACGACTCGTGAAATTACGTATAACAATTTTGAAATATCACTCCTGGTATTTATGCCAAATATCACCACAACTCATGCTATTACCTATACTAATTTTACCCTCGATAACTCGAACCTTTTTTTTTCCCTTGAAGGTTCGAATTCGCGGGAGTCGACTGTATCTGTTGCGATTGGCGACGGCTAGTTATGACTGGACGTCACACACACGGAATTTTTAGCGAAAAACAATACAATAAACGTTACTGCCATACTTGGGATAAACAGATTTGTGCAGCTCTAAAGTGTACAATTGTAATTTCATGCAAATTAGTCTGGGATAGCGTTACTACAAAACTCAGGGAAGTTTGCCCTAGAATAGGATATCACTATTGGAAAATTAATGAGTGGTGAAAGGAATCAGACGTTCCTGGTTCAGGTTCAGGGACAGGTTGGGGATTTTGGATCCTTAACGAAAAGTAGGACAGGAAAGTTACAGATGCTCGTTGAGTGAAAAAGGCTAAGGACTCCAGGATTCAACGGCAAACTCCACACAAAAAAGTATTATAATTTAAGAAAACCCACTCCTTTTTTCGGGTAGTATGGTTACGTATAAAATATTGATAAATGGCGTGTATTAGTCTATGAAGACTGTGATGGATCATAAATGGGTAGTCGGTTTTATACTGACAGGGAATGAAATTATGTACGATGAGGGGGCTTTTCTTAAATACTTGATAACTAATTACTCCTTCGCAACAATCTGAAAATCCCTATAAGTAGGATAAACTGGGCATATTAATGATTTTTCATAAATATTGATGATACTTAGGGCTGTTTTCTCACACTATACGTAGATCAACCAAAACAGAAGCGCAGCAAACAACACAGAAAATCATCGTAAAGCGAAGAGAACATTTTTCACTCAGTTGATTTACTAGAGGATTTGTTATTGCCTGTGATTTGGTAAAAGGGCATCGTTTGATTCTGTTACGAAGCTAGGACATTTACGTTTTCAGCAGAACAAAGCTTTCAACGTGGCAAGACTGAGAAGACAAGTTTAATATTTTACAGCCAAGGACAATTTGATCCTTTTTTAACTCAAACAACCCAGGGAAATAATGTACAGTTTAAACTAGTATTTAGACACCGAACAGACCTGCTGCGCCTCTATGTTTCCTGGTTTCCACGAAATTTTGTGCCCACTTCCCATGACAAGAGTGGAAGAATCAACGCCGCTGGCTGCAGCCGCCATATCCTCTTCCTCTATATCACTATCATCATCGTCATCGTCGTTTGATGAATCAGATTTTTTGACAGGAGTCTGCACGTCAAATTGTTTCTGGACCTGGATAACACATGCGTGATTTTTCGCCTCCGTTGCCACAAGCGAATCGCCGTTTCCGCTGACAAAAAGTTTCTTAAGTCCTGGCTGTTTCACGTTGAAAATCTCACATTCGGTACTATCTGCGAGGGCTTGCAGCTTTCTTTTCGCTCGTTTTATCCCCTCTTTGTTTCCCCCAATGACAAATTCATCATCACCTCTTCCTGTTTGAATCTTGACATCATAGTCCTTGAGCTGAACTTCAATTGAAGACAAGTCATCTTGACGAAGCTCAGAGAGATATTTTCGGACTAACTTAGAAGAACATTTCACTTGCTCTTCTCGGATACAGTTATCGTCTAGGTACGTAATTAGCGTTTTTATTGCTTCATGCACATCTTCTCTGAACCCGGATACGTAGGTGTCATTCCAGTTGTTCCGATACACCCGGACAGTTGAGATGGTGTTGAGTTGCTCACATAGTTGGCGCCATTCTGTGGTTTTTAAAAGATGCTGACTGTTGGCATCCACTCGAACTTTTTCCTCTGATGTCATCTTACTAACAAGACTGGCAGCCTTATCCGCATGCGCAGCTGACGTGCCTATGATCCGAGCCTCGCTATCGATCACAAAAACAGCCTCCACGTTGTTTTTCTCCAATTCACATTTGACTTTCTCCAGCCCTTCATCTAAAGACAAAATTTCCAAAATGTTCTTTGACAGGCTTAATTTCTTTTCAACCATGCCCGAATATTGTTTGTGAAATTTCATGGTCGCTTCCAGGAACTGTGGTTGTGGGCCTTCAAAATAGATTTCCTCTGCTTCAGTGTCTATTTTTATCTCCAGTTCTTTGTTTTTTTCTTGAAGTTTTTCCACAAAGCGGATCTTTTTTAACAAAATTAAATGTTCTACAGGAACTACCTCCGTTTTCTTCAAATACATTTTTCTGGTTTCCTTCCGGTATATGTCCTCTAACTTTGTTTTTAATTTCTTTTTCAGATCTTCTGCATCCGAACTCAGGGAAACAATTCTTACTACGAAAGAATCATGGATAATTTTAACCAGCGGAGGCTCAACACCGAAACAGGTGCGAATGTCTGCTAACTGAGCTTTCACGGCTTCCCAGAAATCCTTGTTCACTTGAACATCTTGCTTTATAAATTTCGCAAGCCACGTTTGTACCTCCTCAATACATTCCGACTGCCACAAATCACTTTTATCTTGTCCGCGGTACAATAGAACGGCTGTTTTGTTGTTTAGCTTCCAATTAATTTCACACGTCTTCGTAGCCAACGCCATTTTAACCTGGTCATGGAGTGACGTAGTTGTGACGTATTCCATCACATCCGGGTCCACAGCCATGTGAAGCTCCTGTGCTTTCGCCTCAGACCGCTGGCTCGCTGATGTGCTACGGCTGTCCTCTGCATCCTTTTGCTTTTCAACCAAAACGTCAAATGCAGCGTCATCGTCATTCTCCAGTAAATCGTTAAAGATTCTGACAGCGAGTTCAGCTTTATTTAAGACAAGTGGCCTTTCATTCTGTCTAGCTAAGACTCTTTCCATATCTGTTAATGAAAAGATCAAAGATAAAACAATGACTCCGTCGAAAACTGGTTTGCAAAAAGCAAAGCAAGTTTTTTTTGTACTTAGCTAAAAATTCCAGAAATGAGGCGCTCTCCGGCCAGGTTTTTTTTTTGTGTGCGTATTTGCGCATATTAACTTTTGTCATAAGAATATCAAAACTGGTTCGGCATGCATTTAACAGAAAGCAGAAGGACACATTGTAAGTAGTTTTCTCCATTTTAACCAAAAAGGACAACGAGTATTAATGGGGCGGTTGAATTCTGACCTGTTGAATTCTGAAACACTACCACAGCTCGACCACTTTCAGGTTTAAACCTCACTGTCTCCACAGGACCACCATTGTTCCTTGGACTTTCAAAGAACAGCTCAATGGCATCTTGGGTGGTGTCCTCTGAAATGCCGCTGACGAGAATGCTCCTGCACACAGGAACTTGTTGGATTGTGACCCGAGCGTAGTCCATTCCCCTCTTTTCACCCTTCTCCTTGATTTTACGAAAATCTAATGAATAAATGGTAAGAAAAATCTGCTTTAATTACACTAACACGAGCGAAGCTTTTCTCTTGTTCTCCCTACATCCCAGGTGGGTTATCACGCCTGTACACCCATAGAAAGTGTGGTCTAATGCTTTTATAAAATAACTTTGAAGCATGTTTCTGTTTTCTATAAGTTTACCGGCACAATAAACCATAGGTTTTTAACCAATAAGAACACGCGTACTATCTTAGTTATTTTATAATAGTAATTATTATTCATTCAAAATATTTCTCCAATTCTGATTGGCTAAAAGCACACTTTTACTTCACCATAACCAGTTACTGATGACCAAATTTGGAAGAATTTTGTGTTTAACGAGGAAATGACGTCAAAAATGCAGCCTTCTACAGGTTAATGCACCGTTAACCGAGGAGATTGGGGGACGAGATTGAGTTGTTTTCGTTGTAAAAACTAAAATGGCTGACACTTCACTCGTTTCAAAAGTAAGAACTACAGCTGGAACTAGGCGAAATAATGGCTAAAAACATAGCAAAAACAGCAAGAAGACAACTCGGAGGGAGATATCTGCTATTTGGAGAATATATGCCGAGCTGGACAAACCTAAACGTTAACTATCGAAGATGAACTTAACATCGATGGAGGTAAGCTTGTTTTAGCTATGTTTTTAAATTAGGAATTATTTTGAATGAATAATAAAACAATTATTGAATTCGGCTTTCGTATCATATGAATAATTATGGAGATCTCGGAGGGTGTTATCCGCCTCGGCCTACGGCCTCGACGGATAACACCCTCCTCGATCTCCATAATTCTTCATAAGATACTCAGCCTCATTCATTAATTGTTAAATATATCCAAGAGTTGGGTTTTCAAGAATCATCCAATTGTGCCCTCTGATGATGCACCACTTAAAATATTATTCTGATCATGAGTTTAGCGTCGTTGCTGAGTCACCCATACCGCCCAGAAAATAGTTCAGGCCCCGGTTGTTCAAACGTTGGATAGCGCTATCCACCGGATAAATCACTATCCAGCGGAGAGCGTAATTGATTTCCCTAATACTTATCCGCTGGATAGTGATTTATCCGTTGGATAGCGCTATCCAACGTTTGAACAACCGGGGCCAGGGTCATAAATGCGAGTAACTGAATCACTCAGGTACAGTAAACATTTGTCTAAACTGCAGGAGGTCCCACTACACCACTAAATCACAAGTAACTTTGGCTGTTTTTACGGGCGAAAATGGGCCTCGCAATTTTTAACCAGCTACGCCCGAAGAACTGCAAGTTCAACTTTCTGCCTAGTCTTCTATACTGGACGATACAATCCCAGCAACGACGACAAAAGCACCATGCACTTGTCTTTTACTCACGAAAAGAAATATTGGAACAAGAGATTCTGAGGGTTTTAATTGGTTTTTTACCAAATTTGACAGCGAAAGGGCAAAAACGTTCCAGGATCGTTAACTTTGTCGAAGACGAAAGCCCAGTGAGACGAAGACCTGTTTAGCTCTAGTAAGTTATTGATCCATGGAAATCCGAGACCGTTGGATCTGTTTCTGTCACGAAAGTCTGGTTCTCATTATTCCGCACCGCCAAACTACCTGCTACCTGATAGCCCCCATTACTGCCTTTGATACATATTCTGACACCTACACCGCCGGCGCCTATTTCCCTTTCGTAAACGGTCGTTGCCATTTTTAACGGTCCATGCCACCATTGGTAACCAAACCTTTAGTCATGATGGATGTAATTATATATTCCCTGGATTAAGTTACAATAATTAGGCAAATAATACGTTTTTGAATAGTCTTAGAAAGAACGAAGTTGAAGCCCAAGTTTAATTTACGTTAAAAATTATGGTCATCTGTAACTGATGTAACAGTTACGAAAGACAGTTTGCTAGTGTATGTACTTAAATTTTTTTTAATTTTGGCGGGTCGGTGTGGTAGCGTAATGGTAAGGGAGAGATATTAGGATACGAAAAGTCCGGTTTCGAGGTTGGACCCTGGGTTGCGATATTTCTTCTTTTTAATTGGAACGCTTTCAATAACAGGTCAAACATTTTTTCGGCAGCGACCATATACGAAAGGGACTACTGCGCCGCCGGTAGCAAGGACCATCGCAGGTATTTGCCGCCGGCATGCCGGAAAAGTTGAACCCCAGTCAGCTTCGTAGGCATAACGGCGGAAACTGCCAATGTTGTCGACGACTTCTTTCTCCATATCGGACAGTACCTGTGATATAGCCACCGTTATTGCTTTGGATAGGTAAGCGGCATAATTAGAACTCTGCGTGAGAGTTTCGTACACAGTAGAGGACATGGTTCTTGGCTGAGTGCGGGGCCGTGAATTTAAAGCCAACGAAATTACTGACTGACCAATCACAGAACGACCTGATGGTCGAACTAGGCATGGCGAATCAAGTCTTGAAGCAAAATAGGATAAGTCATGGTTGCTTGAATTTACTTAAATTGAGCAGCTTATTGCATAGCTGACCTTGCTAATGAATTACTTTTTTGCACGTAACTGAAAACGGCTTATTTGTTATTAATAGCAGGACTTACTTGTTATATCCTCAGTCATTGTGACCAGAGCTTTGCCTTTACTCATCTCTACTGTCTCCACCTCTTCACCACTCATCGCCTCAATAAAGTTCAAAACTCCGTCTTGTGTCGTCGACTCACTCAGCCCGCAAATAAGCAGTTTCTTTGGCTCAAACTTTGCGTCTCCTCCTGTATTGTCGTTTGTATGAGAATCTTGAACATCCATTCCACTAGAAAGGCTCTGGGATCGTCTTAATCCTAACTGGCCACGTCCTCTATTATTGGGTCCAGACCTCCCCCTATTCCCATGGTCACGTCTAGTTGGATAAATTCCCTCTCTACCAGAAAAGTCAAGCTCGTCATTGTATATTTCACCTGCAAGGGAAAATGAACGTTCACGTCTCCAGTCTGGACCTTGGCCGCCGCCTCCTTGTCCATGTCTAAACTGACCTCTTCCTCGCCCCCTTTGAGAGACTTGCGGTTGGCCTTGGAAAACTGAATCGCTTTCAAAAGAGTTTTCACCGCGTCCTCTGCGGCCACGACCCTTGGGTTTGGGTTGGGGTTTTGGTTGATTCCATCGTCCTCTCCAGTTACCACGTCCCCTCTGGCTCTGAAACATGTAGTCACCCACTGGAAATCCATATGGAATATCGTCTACGTATTCTTGGAAATCTTCGTGTGCCTGGACGAACCCTCCTCTGGGTCTAAATCCTCCTCTTGGCCTTCCTCCAAACACTCGGCCTCCTTGTCTTATACCGCGATCGTTCCCACGCGGTACGTTTGGTTCATAACTGTCGAAACTATTTCTCAGATTCCTTTCTCCTTGTTCTTCCTGTGTTTTGTTTTGATTTTCCCAGTTGTTCTTCTTTCTTCTCCCTCCCCTTCTCCTTCTCTTTTTCTGAGAGCCCTGTGATTCGCATTTTTCACTCCCCTTGTTTGCTGATTCTAACTGTGCAGGCGAGGGACCCCAAGCAGTGGGCGGATTGCTCGTCGGGGTTTTGAAGAGGTCGTGTGGATTTTCCATGTCCTGAAATTCTTGTAATCTCTGACTTGCCAAGTTCAGGTCTCCGTTAACATCATCGCGGCAAAGAACTCTTTTAATGAGAACCCTCGGTACACAGGAGAAAACTTCCTCGAGCTTTTTTAGCTTTTCCTCCAGCTTCTCTGGATCCTCTTCTTCAATTTTCCTTGAGGAGGCTGTATCCATTGAAAAGTCCTCCTCCTCCTCCTCGTCTTCGTTTCCCCTCCCTTCGTCTGCGACTACAAAGTCCCTTATATCGAAATCCTCTTCTTCACTGCTTCCACTCTCTTCTCCCTCATCCTCTTCGTAGCCGTTTTCATCTTCTGTAATAGAAAAAGCATTGCTCATAATCTACAGAGTTTTTGGGCATTTGTTCTCTCATTCTCTTGACACCAAAACAACTCAAATCTCAAACCTTTATCTCAAATCTTTATTTTAACACGGTAAAAATTCATCAGGTTTTTTGTTACATATAAAGTATAAACTACATAACAATATTTAATAATAATAAATACATATCTAAAGAGTCTCTTAAAAATACTACTCAAAATTATACTAAACTATACCTGTTTTCCACGAATGCAGTGTATCTAACTTAATTAACTAAAATGAAAGTTTAACAATTGCTTAAAACGATTCAGAGATTTCTCTTGCCTAAGATTAATGAATAAGCGGGCGACGCCTTACACGATTTCCCATACCGGTATATCTCCTCGCAACAAACAGTTACGGAATTAATTATAAAGAACGGAGATTTCCCCCTCCTCCGAATTTCGTTAGCCTCTTGCTTATTTCTAAGTAAAATTACCAAAAGTGTTTGGCTGAGTGAAAATTTCACCGAGGCTTCATTTTTTTCGAAAAACAGTGAGTATAGTAGCTAAATGAAAGAGTAATATGCTTTGTGCAAAAGAAAAAACTTATTTCTCAAACAGAATATTTTACATCCGCCAGAAAGCATCCTCTTTCAAGGTGCCCTTGAATCTTCAACATTAGTTATCTTTCATACCTAGATTTATAACTGATGAATATGAACACTTTACGTCCACAGTTCAAACAACAATAGATGTAATGAAACCCCGATGTGCCAAATATTTGGATATAGGTGAGCCACTTAGGGTTTGAAACCCAGACCCTGTTTTGGACAACAACTTCAATTTTATTGCCCTGTTTAGGACAAAGGAAAAAATTAACACCGTCTTGTTTTACAGCCATTTATTGGTAATTGTAATAGAGCAAATTCACGTTATAGTCATTGCTATTGTATCATCAAGCAAGTCAAAACAATCAGGATAGAATCACACGAAATTACGGTATATACCCTCTTTAGGACAGAGAGGATAAAACCCATACCCTGTCCAGCGGTACATCCCGGTACAACCTCGTCCCTGAGGTGGAGCAGGAAAAGGGAAGCCAGGGACTAGCGCCCTGGGGACGAGGTTGATCCCCGTATAAATAGATAGAGAGCTTTCTCAATTATCAACAGAGCGCATAAAGGCACACATGTGTTTACAGCGATAACAAAGATTACACTGCCGCAATAAATGATAGTACTATGGACGTAGAATTACAGTGAAAGTTCTCTTTTGACTACAGAGGTGTTACAGTTGTAAAATTTGTACCATTAGACAAGGTTATATTTAACGCATCTTTCTCTTTCGAGCCATCATTTTTGGCGTTTTTTCTCCTTGCTTCATACTTATCAACTTTGCAAAAGCTGTGCTTGGATTCATAGAGTCAAGAAAAAGGTTAGTTTCCGTGTTTAGCTCATTGAAGAGGTCTCTCCTAGGATCCCAATAAGCTATGCAATTCATCAAAAAATGTTCCTCGTCTTCTATTCCAGTGTTACATAACGGACAGATTGTCTGATGGTTGATAGGGTTTAGCCTATCGCCCAGTTTTAATTGCAAGTTTATGGTTGCTTAATCTTAGGTTTATGATTGCTACTCTATGATTGATGTTTCTTACGTTTGTGAGGTAATTTTCGTAGTCATGGGTAAGTTTAAACTTTTAAATTTTCTAAAAGTTCTTAGTTTGTTTTTTTGATTCGGGTCCTTTCGGTAATCATTGTGTATTTCGCTAATACATGTTTGTTGTTCTATGCATGTCTAAAAGTCTCTGTCGTACGTAGTTCATGGTTGCGGGAGTGTTCGTTTTCGCTGACCATATGTCGCCAAGACCTGAGAGATTTAATAGCCGTTTTAGTTTGCTTGGCCAATGAAATCTGCAAATGATATTCCAGAGAGTCTTGGCCAATTAGATCCGCAAATGCTATTCCAGAGAGTTTCTTTTGGTCCTCCAGCTCACAAAATTTCAACCAAAATTTAATGGCTTTGCGCTTTGTCTTCGTTCGGGTTGGGAATTGGCCTACCTCCGATCTGCACGCATTTGAGCTACAGAATTTGTTAACTCCCAATAGCCACCTGATGAACTTTGTTTGCACAAACTCGATTGGATTCCTTCCCGTATAGGCCATATAAGTACACCCACCCCCCTCCCCTCCCCCGGGGGATAGGTGTAAGTAGTAACTTCACTCAAAGATAATCACGTCAGACAAATATCGCCTTCATCCTAAGGAGGGAGGAGACGACCTTCAGTTATCTCCTGCAGTCCCGGGGGGGAAGGGGGACTCCCATATGAAAGGGGCGGGGATGCGCGTCAGAAATTTTGAATTAAGAATGGTTGTCAGAGAAAACCGGGCAAAATGTTAAAATGTCAACAGAAAAAGCTCATACTAACATCGTAGATAGATCAGGTGGAGTAATGGACAAATATACAAAACATAGGTTCTTTACTGGTCTTGTATTAGAGATTTCAGCATAATCATATTTGACCCCTTCGGACGCCATTTTTGTAAGCAAAGTTTGACCATTTTCTGAAGCTCACAAAATCCTCAAATTTTATGCGATACAACACAACACAGGGCTACTTTCTAAAACCATACAGGCAAGACTTAAATTTTCTTATTTTACCTGACCTAAGCTCAGTGTCAAAAAAATCGGTCATTTTTGAATTGATCTATAGTGCACAACTAAATCGAGAGTACAACTCTTACAACCAAATTGAAGTCTACTATGATCCATGTAATCAAAACACTAAAAATCATTTTGGGTCGTTGAAACTGTCCTCAGACACATAGCATGACCCTTTTCCGACGCTGCACGTAGAGAGATAATATCCGGAATAGAAAGTGAAAGTGCACTGATACGGTTACCGGGGCTTTCCCCAAAACATCCTGGAAACAACGAACGTGATTGTCAACGATAACAAAAAAATAAATAAATAAACATGTCGCTTTCCTTCTCCTTCCACTTTTGGGCTGGCAAATGCATTTATAAACATCTGATCTGGTCTACGGATTCGAGTCAGAGAGGTGACAGAAGTACTTTAGAACGTAAAATGCTGAAAGTAACACATGATTGAACACAAAGGCATCAAACCTAAATACTGTAACTCAATGTGAATATAACAAAGCGATTATGTTTAAAAGACAATGGTTAGGAGTGATAATGACACGTAAACGTCAGACATCGCCGGGTTCTGTTAAAACCCCTTGGCTTGAATGGGCTATGAATTATATAAATTCAGTGTGGTCTTTTAAGTAACTTGCGATTTGTTAAATGCAAGCAAAACAAATCTCTCTTAAATAAAATGGATACTGTTGACGGATAAACATGAGGAAGGATATATCTCTTAAAAGGCAACAAACTCAAATTATAGTTTATACTTACCAAAACTATCCATTACACCGGCTTGTGAGTAAAGGTCGTTCTATGATAAAGTCAAAACAAAACAAGGAAAGAAAGTGAGTTATATACGAAGGTATAAATGATGTTATATGTTGTTAATTTTGAGATGGACTGTACTTGCGTACATCCATAAAACAGTCAATAACAACCTTCAAGCAGGCGTGTGTACATGTGCTATGTGCAAGTGGTTTTCATTTGAACGACAACATCCTTGGAGACTAAGTTCCTTGATACGGAAGTTGGCACTGAAGTAAGCGGCGATCGGAAAGAATACATGATCACGATGCGATTAAGGCCATAAAGTGGAACTATTCCTCGCTGTAAGGCGAAGTCCTGCAGGATCAGTCGAACAAAACTTACCTAAGTTGATATCCAGTAGTAGCAAGATTTCAAAGCATAAGAAAAGTAGTGCTTTACACAACAGTTTCGCTTTGAATGAAATTTTCAGCAGGTTTTCACGAAACAATTCTGCTGCTTCCGGGTTTCCCGGAAAAAGGCGCATCCAGAGCCAGGTAGTTGAACGCTGTCCTAATTACCGCGGGCTCTGCAACTTTGAAAGCTTTTCATGTATGAGGTGGGCACAGAAGTCCCCAGCGATGTGCAAAAGATAATTTAATTCGGGTTTCCATGCGGCGGTCTGCTGTTGTCATGCAAGCCTTGAAACCTTTCCCACAATACTGTAACTCATTTTGGGAGACAAAAGCAGCTGCTGGGTTCGCCTCCTATCAGTACCCGAGCTGGGATTATAATTCCTAACCATGTTTTTCATTTGAATTTTTTGTTCCATTATCCCTGAAAAGCCCATGAGGGGAGAGGATAATTATGTGTTTAAATTTAAATTTTTACGTCAACATAACATTTCGCGTTGCTCACTGATGATTTAGTGATAGATAGTCAGGTTTTCATTAGTAATCCACATTCCAATTCTGGGCCTAATTAATTCCTAATCTCCTGATTTAAAACATTCACTTACTAGCTATATTAGGAAGAAAGCGTAAAATGCTTTCACAACCACGCAGCTTCCACAAAATGTGAGGTAGCATTATCAAAATCACACCAACAGAACATTTCTGTATGTCATTTCTTGGTTTTGCTCTATAGTTTTTGTTGATTTCCTGCACGGCTGAGATCAAAGGCCCCGGAGACGTATGACATACCCTCGGTTTCTCAGAAAGCCGGAAGTACGTCATGCTGATTTTCCCTCAAGCTTTTCAGCAGTAACAAGCCAAGCTGGCCTTCTTTCGTGTTCTGCTTTCCCTTCATAGGAACTATGGAAGAGGGCCAAGATGAGAATTTTTGCTGTCTTGAAACCTGGTAACACAAGCCAAAGGTAATTTTCTTCCAATGACTTCCCAAATGGATTTCAAGTTCTTCTGTGGTTAAAGCTAATTCTATTTATAGTTACAACGTCTAGGATTCATCTAAACGACTTAAAAATGCTGAAAAATGCCATCACACAGAATTTGACAACTCATCTCAGATTCCCCAAACTAGAACTCCTGAGGAACCTGCAAATTAAAAAAAATACTAAATTTAAAACTGAAAACACACGTTAGAAATCGGGATTTTATTCAATTGATTCAGCATCATGCTTCACAGCAT